CTCTCTCTATTTAGTACTATTTTATTTACTGTGAGTTTTGGCGGGAACTTGACTGTCTGACTGACTGTTGGATTGTCCTTCCTTTTATCGTTTAAATAATGATTTGAAGTGGATTTTGATTCGTAAAAGTGATGCGATTTTGTTTATTAAATATCTGCGCATGTGAACTATTAGAGAAAAAGAGGAAACAAGTGCTTCGATGTTAATATAAAAAGTTAAAGTTACAGCCTATATACGTCCCACAGCTGGGCACAGGCCTCCCCTCATTTCTCAGAGGATTTTAGGACAAGGAAATGCCAGCCGCGCTGCCGCAATGCGTGTTGGCGAACTTCACATGTCTTCGAAATTTTTTTTCGCTTATTTCTCAGACATGCAGGTTTCCTCACGATGTTTTCCTTCACAGCCGAGCACGTGGTAAATGATGTTAATATAAACCTCAAGTTATTTTAATCACTTAGGCATCATAATATGAACTTCAGTTACTGTCATCATCGACTGTCCGCTGGGTAGACAGTTTACTCCCGTTCTATCAAATAGCTGTTAAGTATTTGATTTCTTCAGCTATATCTGTAGCATCTGTGCTTCTAAACATATAAAACAGCTGAATATATAAAATAACGAGTATTTTTGAAAACTCTTACTGAAAAATATTGGTACACATAATCGTCTCATTTAAATTAAACAATAATTTATAAGAGATATAATCTAACATTTTCATACATTTAAAATTTAATTTTTCTTAATAAATATAATAAATTAACTAAACTTAATGACATGATTGTTTTTTTAAATAAAGCCGATATATCGATATTTTTTTCGATATATATGAAACTCCGATACTGATATATTTATAATTATTGATATATCGAAAATCCGATATTAAAAAAATATCAACAGTCCTAGTCTGAACTGATCAGATGATCAGTTGAACTGACCGCGTGTGTTGAACTTTCTTTGGCTTAAATCCGTTTGAACTGATATCAGGTTAACTGATCACTTTAACTGACCGTGTGTGACGACCATTTAGAATTAAAACTGTCTAGATCAGCATTACGATGTATCAGCTCGTCAAAATTTCGACACGTTTGGAGTATTCTTTGGTTGACTTTGTCAAACGCTTTTGAAAAGTCAGTGTTAAATTCACTTGGCGTTGGGTTATTCACTAACAACGATTGACCAGAAGTTTCGCACATTTGACGCTGCATCCAGTCACCGGTCTGGGTGTTTACACTTGGCATTAAGAAGATGGTTATAACTCTATCTATCGGAAGTCATAAATATAATAGTATTCTTTTATAAAATAAGGGTTACAAACGAGCACAGAGTTCACCTGATGGTAAGTGGATGGTGTGGCTCATAGACATCTACGTCCATCCTCGATTAAGAATCATAATGCAGATACGTTGTCACTTGTCACCCTTGAGGACTAAGATGGAATGCCTCGTTTCTAAAAAGTAGGGTCTTCTGTTCTCTACACTCACCATACGCAGTATTAAGCTGCTATTATAGACTTTATTATTTTGCTAAATAATGAAAAGAAAACCAAATAAATACATTTATTATGACTTTATTTTTAAATATCAATTACATGTTATTATTTATACGATTTTATACATAATTTTCTTTATAATTATGTATTGATTATAAAATATGATTCACTATACAGCGTATTCATTTGTATTCCTTTGTGTATTTTGTGTGTATTTGTTTGTATTTTGGGCCTGCCCTGTGGTTTTACGACCGCCATTGATTGGCCATTGATGAGCTGTCAGCGTAGGTAATTACAGTAAGTACATATACATAGTAGTGAAGGCAAATTTTTGCATTTTCTCACTCCCATAAAATAGGGAAAATCGTTATTTGCTTAACAAATCTCCGAGAGCTACAAAAATCCATATTGGACAAATAACTTAGAAATACAGCTCTCTTTATTATTTATATATTTCCAAACTAAGAAACAGTCTATATTTTTTATAAAAACTAGAAAAATATGCCTTCGCTACGCTTTGAATTTTCAAAAAGCGTAGATTCGAACTTATTTCAGCTCAAATCAAAAACAGAGAACCTAAAATACATCTTATTTGTATTAGGTAAACTCATATTATCCCCGAAGATAAGAAGCGAGCCATTCATGAAAGCTGTCAAAACTAAACGCTTACATTTTTAAGTGAGTTATTATTATGAAAAGAAAAAAATACCGCGCACTCTGAGTTTTTTTTAATAAATTTCGTTGTTCAAAACCAGTACCCGATACTTATGAATAGGGAAAACAAAAGAAGAATAACATTTCAAAGTCACTCTCATCTATCTATAGAAGGAACTTTATCTTGCGCTATGTTCACCCGTTTTATATATACTTATAAGTCACAACCACGATTCCTCTTTATTTAATTTAAAACGAAATTAAAAAAAAGCGGTTGATCTAATTTAAACAATACTTATAAATTGAGCAACTTTACATAAGTGACGATAAAACGTTATTCATCAAATTAAAGTAAAACTAATTTGAAATTTTTGTCCAGGATGGGACCGTTGTTTTTGCTATTTAGAAAATATAAAAATCTGTGTTTTATGAGGGCTACAATTGCGAGCTACTGCCCGTTTTTTAATTTAATTCTTAATTTGATTGTTTTGTTTTAAAAATGTTGAAAAATTTTTGTGCTGTAGCGACTTTGTTTCAGTAGTTCTTAAACAGCAATTAAAGCAAATATCCTAAAATTTCTTTATGTCGTATGCGGTGTAAATACTTAACATATTTATTTATAAGAAAAACTATTTTCTAATATGCTCCAGATTTTGGCACCGTAGTTATGTGTAGCAAATTGTTTATATCACCATATTCATCCATATTCATCTGCTATTTTACAGTGCCACCAACTTATCTGTTCAAGTCACAGATTAACTCCGTTCAGGTGGACAAAATTGGAACTAACGCTGCCATTTTATAAATAACATTTGCTGTAAGCTATATTTATTCTATGCTGTGAGGAGAGTACGTTGTTTGATTACTCGAAATATATATGTAGTCACCCGTAATTAGACTAATAAATCTATATAGTCACCTATTTCCCGGGTAAACTTCTCTTCTCTAAAGTGGCAATAGTAAGCTCTCCACTAGAGACTGTTAACTGAACAGTAAAGTTGGTGGCATGGCACTATTATAGAATATTTCTCTTTGCACAGATTAAATATCAGAAATTATAGAAAAGAACATGATACCCTGTCATTTCATGCCTCATTAACACAAAAATGTTTTTAAATGCAACCCTTCGAGGCGGTAACGAAATACAGAAACACATTTGGCACTACTCAGCGTAACAGAAAAACCTAAACAAATAACCCTCGTAGTTTTTTCTTAATAGCTATCTTACTGTTTAATTAAAGCATTTCATGTGTTTCCACACGTATTTATTAATATATATAATAAAACTATTTTAACATTTACTAATATAATCCGATATTTGCTTTTCTATTAACCAACACAAACCTTTTTTGTAAAATAAAGGTTACTTAAAGTTTTTCAGTTACCAAAAATATTAAAATAGTTTTTACAATAGAAACTGCGATATATTGATAATACTATAATTATATTTAACAGAATTAATTGTGTTTTCAATTGCGACTGTGATACTATTTAATCATTCAAGGGCGGAATTACATAAATAACTACGTAATTTATTTTATTTACAAACATTTTAAGCAACACTACTTTATCTAGACACTATATTAAATAGAAAACATCGAAGTAATATAAAAAATAAAACAAAAAGAAAAACCATCTAATGCGAACCATTAACGCCAAGAAAAATAAAAGGATTATATAAAATGTAAGCACAAGACAATTTATATGAAATAATCCGGTAATTTAGAAGTTTGTTTAAAAGTTGTAAAAAGACAATGTTAATAATTAAATAAAAAAATCCGGGACTACGATCCGATTATAGTCTGAGGATCGATGATCTAGCATCAAAACTGAACGATACACAAATTCTTTGGCCTTTAATTTGCCTTAAATTTACTATCCGATGTGCGTTGATTTCAATATAATGATATAGGTTCGATTTTTTCATTGGACGCGTCAACAGATACCGTAGGGTTTTTCCACCAAGCGAGAATCATACAAAATTTTAACAATATATCCACTTGGATTAATCGACCGAGTCGATCGTAAAACGAAATTTATATTTCGCAAAACATTGAGTAAATTGAGCAACGATAAAAGACTATAAATATTTTCTACTACAAGCATCTCGCGCCGTTTCATTTCATTTCTAAATAAATAACTTTTATTTTATACAACAATAAAAACATTTTGTACAACGTCCCGACAAAAATACAAATCTCGAATTTAACTACTACTTAGATACAATTTGCTCATTTCAATAGAACCATACGTTATATTTACAACCGATTTATTTTTAATTTTAGTATGCTCGAATTTAAAAAGTATAAATGTCACTTTGTCAGTTGGCAGCACAGCACACACTGCTTTGGAAACACCACAACCAATTTCTCACTGACAGATCGAGTTCTCGTAGACTAGGTAGCATCAATGAGGGCTAATAAATCTTACGCTCACCAGATGTCGCTTAGTTGATACTAAGGTGAACTTATATTTATTATATTATTTATTTACTTATATTATTTGGTATGCTGATAATCACAGAATGTCATCATCATTGAAAAGTTGCGATTTAATTATAAGTTTATCGGTTTCTAGTGCATATATAATACACAAAACAAAGTCTCAGTGTTGTATTCTTTAGTTTTCTACACATTTTGAACTTGCTTTAACTCTTCAACTTTTAGAAATACCCGTGTCTTTGTTAATCCATTTATAATCTAAGTAATAGAAAATTTAACCGATATTTAGGAAGGAAACATTAATCTTTACACTTTTCCAACAAATTAAATTCTCCTGCTATGAAGTCTGTCAAATATTTTACCTCATTTGTAAGGGGCACCGCCCTGGTGGCAGAAAAAAATCGAGGATACCCTCATTAACAAGTTATTTCCGTATCACCGGTAAATTCGCCGCCGTTGCTACCCTGTTTCGTGAATTTCTTTCCATTACCGATAAAAACCTCGCCGTAGATTTTCTTGTTTTTCTTTTTGGAACCACATTCATTGTCATTTGAACCCGAGGACGCATTATCGCTGTCCGCATACGGTACGTCAGTCAAAGGACCGTTCAGCAAACTAGCTGCCGAACTAGACTGTTTTAGTTTTCCTTTGTCCTCCTTCTGTTCCGTGTCCTTCGGCAGGTCGTGTATTATTGCTTTTTTGGGATCTATTTGTATTGTTTTCGATTGTGAAAGTTTATTTGGTGTGACGACGTTTATGTACGGCGGTAAGATATTCATGGTTGTTAAGTTGACCGAACCGCTGTTTTTCTTTAACGCGTTCAGGTTTTGTTCTAGTTGTGCGGCGTCAAGGCATAACGGCTTTGGCTTTGGCACAATTTTCGGTGGTTCTTTGTTTACATAGGAATTGCCTCGCGGCGGTTCGGGTGAAGCGAACGGTGCGGTTTTCCGATCTACAACTAATGAGTTCTTGTGATTTTTGTCGACATCAACAACATTAGCTTCTATTGCTATTGATAATGCGTTTTCTGGTGGTTTAGGAGACGTCGGTGTTATGCTTATGAGTTTATCCACCTGTTAAAAATGACTTGTTACAATAATTACCATAAAACCTCTAGAGTATCATAGAATTAAGACAATAATCTAATTTAATTTCTTCTATCTATTTTAATCTAATCTAATTCTTGTTTTATATACACTATTATTATAGTTCAACAAATGTAACAAATACCTTTCGACGTTTCATATTTTTCATATTGTAATAATTTTATTATCAACTAGCTGGTACTCGCCGCGTTGCCGCAGAAGAAACTATTGTGGAAATATCGTTTTAAAATTTGGTAGAGTTGTTGATAGTTTTATTATGAATGATAGTACATTCATTGAAATTAAATGATATAAAGTTTTCAAATAAATTTGTCGGTACGATACGCGTTCCACCTACTTATATTATGCCTACAACCTTCGTGCAAGTGCAAGCAATAAGTTGACAAAGTTTTACCGCAATTTGATGAACAGTAAGGCAGCGCATTAAATACGAACTAGCGAACATAATTTTTTTATATATTAGATTAAAATGCAATTAATTATGAAGTTATTTGTATTTCATTGCTACATGCCAAAAGGTATATCTTAGATTTGTTGTTGAGTAAGCATTAATGACCTGAAACACTCGCGAAAATCAATAGGTCATGTGACTCAAGACCGTATTTTGACAATATGGAGGAGGATTCTCTTCAGCAATGAACTTATTGTTGTTGAGAAGTATGTTATGATAGTACTCAAGGCACCAACTAAAATTAAACTCCGTAGATTTTGACGACTTCGTGGATTAGTTGGCGCGGCTTCTAAATTATGGACATTGTGGAAATTAAATTTCAGCCGGAGTTAACATTTGTGCGAACAAATGGTCGGGCTAATAACTTTACATATAAGCGTAATATACATCCGTTATGGCTTGGTTTAGGCAACAGCGTAATTAGGCTTAGACTAACGAGGTTTCAGCAAAGATGGCAGAATTTGATGGGTGGCAACATTTGAAAAGGCAAATGTATTAATTTATTGGAATTACTGTCTACTTTTTCTTCATCATCATCAGTCAGCAAAAGTTCACTGCTGAACGTGATCCTCTTCCGTTGGGAGTATTTCCCTTAATCACAACGATTAGCAGTTGGATATTGCTCGTGGCATAATATAATTCAAGTGACAGATTATCTCATGTCGCCACCACAAAGTATCAGCTTTCACTCCAAGGCCTCAAAACACAATGAAGTAATTTGTATACGTAGATATACGTAACTACATACATACGTAACATCTAGGGTTGCCATCTTTATTTTTTGAACAAATATAGTATTTTTCCCAGAAAGGATGCAAAAATATATATTTTTAAGAAATTCACATTTGAGAAGTACACATTTATTTTTAATATTTATGTCTGTACGTATTCAATAGAAATATGAATCATCATCATCATCATTACAGCCCTTCAAAAGTCCACTGCTGAACATAGGCCTCCCCCAAGTAACGCCACAAAGTACGGTCCTGAGCCACCTGCATCCATCGACTTGCTGCACGTCTTACCAGGTCGTCACTCCATCTAGTGAGGGGTCGCCCTACACTACGCCTACCGGTACGAGGCTGCCACTCGAGAACCTTTCTTCCCCATCGGTTATCGGTTCTTCGAGCTATATGGCCGGCCCATTGCCACTTCAGCTTACTAATCCGTTGGGCTATGTCGGTCACTCTGGATTTGCTGCGGATATCCTCATTTCTGAGTCCTATCACGCAGAGAAACTCCGAGCATAGCCCTTTCCATAGCTCGCTGAGCGACCTTGAGCGTCCTGATACGGCCAGCAGTGAAGGACCACGTCTCAGATCCGTAAGTCATCACTGGCAACACGCACTGGTTATACACTTTAGTTTTCAGAGTTTGAGGTATACCTGACGAGAAGATGTGTCGTAATTTTCCGAACGCTGCCCAGCCGAGTTGAATCCGTCGATTGACCTCTCGGTCGAAGTTGGACTTACCTCGTCAACAACTTCGAGCATAGTGCTCCCAACAACTACCGGCATAGGTGTGACATGGACATTAAACATGATCTTTGTTTTGTCCATGTTCATCTTAAGACCTATCCGTTGGAAGACACCATTGAGGTCATTGAGCATAGTGCTAAGGTCCGCCAGCGATTCTGCCATAAGGACTATATCGTTGGCAAATCGAAGGTGAGTGATGTACTCGCCATTGATGTTAATATCGTATCCTTTCTAGTCCAGTAGCTTGAAAAAGTCTTCCAACGCAGCGGTGAAGAGTTTCGGGGATATAAAATCACCCTGTCTTACACCTCTCTGCAGTTGGATAGGTTTCGAACTCTGGTTCTGTACTCGGATAGCCATCGTAACCCTACTGTACAAACACTTCAGCACTTCGATATACCGACAATCAACTTGGCATCGCTGAAGGGACTGTAGCACCGCCCAAATTTCGACGGAATCAAAGGCTTTCTCATAGTCCACATATGCCAGGCAAAGTGGCAGATTGTACTCTTCGGTCTTCTGTACAATCTGCCGCAGGGTATGTATGTGGTGTATGGTACTGAAGCTTTTTCGAAAACCAGTTTGTTCGGGAGGCTGGAAGTCGTCGAGTCTGCGTGCGAGACGATTCGTAATGACTCTCGAAAATAGCATGTAGACGCGGCTCAGAAGGGAAATCGGTCTGTAGTTCTTCAAGAGAGCGTTGTCGCCTTTCTTAAAGAACAAGACCACCGCGCTCCTGCTCCACGCCTCCGGAGTAGTGCCACCATGGAGGACGGAATTGAAGAGCTTCTGAAGGACTTCAAGTACCGGTGTTCCACCCGCTTTCAGAAGCTCCGCTGTAATTCCATCGTCGCACGGGGCCTTGCCGTTTTTAAGGTGGTGGAGAGCCATTCTAATCTCGCTCAGACTGACGTCCGGGATATCATCGGAATAGTGTCGGATAAGACTTGTTCTTGGATCGTTACTCACACTTGCGTGTGGCTCCAACCGTGATCTGTACAGCTGCCCATAGAACCTCTCAATCTCACTCAGAATCTCAGGTATCCCGGAAACGATGTTGCCACACTCAGTCTTCAGCTTTGACAGTTGGCTCTTTCTGGCAGCCAGATCTCTGGCAAAGAGTTTGGAGCCCTGGTTCCGCTCGATCGCTTCTTTAATACGAGCAGTATTAAAGTTGTGTAAGTCTCGCCGCATGCATTTGGAGATCTGTCTGTTCAGTTGCCTGTATGCTGTCAAATATGTTGACGATTGCAGCTCATCTCCCTAACGAGATTAAGAGTGTAATCAGAGAGTTTTTGTGTTCTTCTGCGGCGGGTCTTGCAGAACTTAGCTCCGACCGCATGGAAAGTTTCCACGAGCTTGTCATTCATATCGTCCACTGCATTGCAATCTTCCAGGCACTGAAAGTGGTTACGTAACTCGAGCTGAAAGGTTTCGGGATTCTGGATTAGAGCACGAGGGAGACGGAGCGTTGACTTCATTAGACGAGACCTCTCCAACTTAACGTTTAGGTTCAGTGTGCCTCTAACCATTCGGTGATCGCTGCCGGTTTTCACCCTTTCGATCACTGAGACATCACTGAACAGTTGGCGTCTGGTCGTCATAATGAACTCAATCTAATTTTTTGTCGAACCGTCGGGGTTCTACCAGGTCCACTTCCTGTGGGGCCGCTTCTGGAAGGAAGAGTTCATCATAAAGAGTCCCTCTTTCTCCATAAAGTCGGCCAGCTGCTGGCCCCTTCGGTTCCGTTGCCCTACTCCAAATTTCCCTACCTTCAGCTCACCGCTTTCTCTTGTGCCTAGTTTTGTGTTGAAGTCTCCCATCAACACCGTGTAGTGGGTTTTGGAGGAATGCATGGCTCTAAAGATATATTCATACATTACCTCCACCTCCTCATTGGGATGTGATTGCTCCTCATTGTGAGGTTGGTGCGTAAACCTGTATGACCTTCAGCGAATACCGTTTGTTGATTCTGAGTATCAGGTACGCGACCCTCGTCGACACACTCTCAATCTTTACAACGTTGTTGACGAGAGACTTGTGGACGATAAATCCGACACCTCCTTGGGAGAGATGCTCCCGGTGATAGAACAAGTTGCCGGTCTCGAGGATTGCCGTGTCCTCCCCCTCTCTTCGGACCTCGGATAACCCAATAATATGCCAGCGCAACTTGTCTACCTCTTCTTCCAGCTCCAGTATCTTCTCGTCGGTTCTCAGGGTGCATGCGTTATATGTTGCCAGGTCGAGTCGTCGTAGGTGGCAACCGAACCTCCGCCGGAGATTCTTACACCATCTGCCCCGCCGTTACCATGGTCGCCACCGTAGCCAGGAATAGCGGGGCCGCCGGGGACTGGGGGCCGTCTGTTTGCGTCGTTATTCATGGGGGGATATTTGCCATAGTTGCCACGCTTGGCGAGCGGGTTGGCAACCGCAGTTTTTTATTATATCACAAATATGAATGTATTTTCCATATATATTTGTTATTGCTCTTTGCGTTGGCCATCAATGATCTAACATCTTACCTTCTACCTTACTATTAAAATAATAGGAGTCTGAGCAATTTAGATTCATATTAAAATAAATTAAACATAAACTTTTAATTAAATTAATACATGCTCTTTTTACTTTATTCTTTCAATTTTACATTCATGATGGAAAAATTCATTCCATTATACTTACTTTTTCCAGAATTCCAATCACAGTTAATAAAAAAGCAATAGTTTATTTAGGGATAAAAATATACTATTTTTCGTACTATATTATTTATCTATAATATAGTAGAAATGACTGAAATATAATATTATACTATATGTAGTACGGGTGGCAACCCTAGGAACATCATACTTCAAAGTCAAAACATTTGTTTGGAAGAAACGTAGACAGAGAAACCTATAGACTAATGATTAGCGTGGCCTCGAGTGAGAAAGGACGATAACGTAGTTTTAGGTTATACAATAATCTTTATGACTTTTAAACATATTTAGATAAAAATTTTAATTGTTCTAAGAACTGAACTGAACAAGATTCACCAATCTTAAGCTCACAAAACACTTTTTTCTCACTTAAACCAACTTGTAAACTCCTTAGATCGCTACGAACTGTCAAAGTTCTTTAGCAAAGTGTAGTTTTCTAAACAAAAAAACCGGCACGGAGAAAGGGACAAACAATCGCTCTGCTCTGTCTCATTTCTATGCAAGACGTATGCATAAATCTATCTTTTTCGTGTGCGAATGCGAAAGAAGACGTCAATTTGTCTACAGGTTTCTCTGTCTACGGGAAAAAACTTATATTTTTTTATTTACATAGACAATACATAGAGACACTCACGGCTGGCCCGGTGGCGGATTTCTGTTTGAGGTCTACAGAATTGCTCTTGGACCTCGGCTCGGTGAAGGAAGTCTCACATATAACCGGCTTCTCGTCCGTCTCCGATGCGGTGTCGTCGTCTACCGAGATACCCTCGACTGAACTCAGCAATCTGTGTTGAAAAATTATTAGTCAAAGTGATTAACAGACATATTCTGAGATTTTTGTTTTACTTTATATAGACTCGACAAGTCTTACATTATAGTTAGAAAAACCCACAAATTATTTTAGCAACTTTTTTTATAGCACCACACAGTCTACATGGTGATAAGTGGCTGTTGTGGCCCATTGCCATCTAAATCCATCCTCGAGTGAGAGTCAAAATGCAGATGCTTTGTCACATCACAGGAGTAAGATGGAATGCCTTATTTCCAGTAATAAAGGTTTTGCACCTATAGTATAGCATCATATAGGCATAATCACCAGCAAAACTCTTATAGTAAGAATATCCCACAAATTACGTAAAGCAACTCGTACGTAATCAACTTTTCATTCTTTTTCTTTTTTAAACCCATGCTGGATAGATTCACAAAAATGCGTCACACGACCACAATGTATGATATAATAATGTGTGGTCACGACTAGTGCCGTATTCTATAATTTGCGTTGTTAGTATCAAGTTGTTAGTATATTATATACGAGTATTTATGTGTAAAAGCTTAAAGCATTGACCTGTCAGTGGAGTTAGACGACAGAAACTTTGCACTTGTCCGCGTCGCGGCGCCGCCAGCAGCGCAGGTGTCGCCGCGCCTTGCGTCGCTCCGCGAGATTGGAATGTTGCCATATTCTTGTGATGCTACAATGTGGTAATTAATATAACTAATTTAATTTCTTGTTAAAACTAATTTATTATTACTGTAAACCTTGCTATAAAGATACGTTTTTAATCACACCGAAGTTAAACCTATAATCTAAAACCTAAAAACCAGTCCAACACAGACTCTATCAAAATAGAGTAACTGTCAAAAACTTTATAATTATTATCTACCAGCATAATAATATTATATTAAAATTATAATTCATATATTTTACATTACTATTACTATGCATATTTTTTCGGCCTTGTTTTTATAGTACACGAGCAACCGTAGTACTTGCAGTGCCGGATCACTGAAGTTGTGAATTGCAACGTTACGTGCTGACCACGAGCTTCAAAACGAGTTTCAAAATGTAGAAGTTGAATAAAGAAAGAGAGGGAGAGAAAAAGAGAAAAACGAAAGAAACTAAATACCCACTATACGGGATTAGAGGATATGTATTTAATGATGTTCCACATTTTATCCGATTTTTTAAATACAGTTACGATTTCACAGGCAAAATATTTGTATGCCATCAGTATTTTAATTGTGACATTTATATATACATATATACCTTTCAGTAGAGGTAGATATTGTGAATCCTCCGTTTCTGATGTTTCCTGAGCTGCCGTTGGCGATGTGCTATGAGGCTCCTGTGGTTCCGTTGAGCTATAACAAACCAAACAAATGAGCTTTCGATGTAATCTCTTTCATTTATCAAATATAGAAATTCCATTTATTGGACTACCAGCAAATAAGCAATGCGTTTAAATTGCATAGAAATTAATTCTATTAATATTTTTTCCGGTAACAATCAGGCCTATGTAGATTAAAATCAAATAAAACTAAAATCATGCAAAAACATTTCTATGATTCATTTACTGCAAAATAATGTTTTGCTTAAAGCAATTAAATTGCGGGCAATCCAATATTATATCATAACTTGAAAGTAAATATTCTTTAATCATTTGTTGTTTCGATCTGTCTTGTTTATTTTTATGTACCTCTTTGATAAATTTTATCTGTGAGAAATTAACTAGGGGATATCGGCTTACTAAGCATGCTTTTCACTGCTTTGTCGCTGTGCAGCAGTTGCTATCGTTACTAAAATTGTGTTATAAATAGCGATCTAAATTTTCCCATTATTTATTGTACTAATATAACTGTTAATAAGAAATCAAAGGCTGTATAAATGTGGAGGTTATTTAAAATTATAAAAAAAATATTTATGTCGATCGAAATTTTATCTTACATGTCAGTAAATCCTTTAGGAATCTTATCTCCAATATCCAATTCCAATACACTGTTCTCACTCTTAAAATTTACTCAAAATTTAATGGGAAAATTTAGATATTTAAACAATATTTTCTATTTTAAATTTGGTCACAATTGAATGAGAAACTTATAAATAAACTCACAAGAATCTTATTAGTTACATCTTGTATTTCTTAATTATTTTATATTTTGTGCTTGAAATATAAGAGAGGTTTATAATGTAAACTAAGTGAATGACATCCAAGTGTGAACAGAATTTAATTGGGTTACCATAACATGAACTGTAATGTGAGCACAAAGTGAATAAGTAATTTCTATTTATTAAAAATATGTGGAAAAAGTCAAAAAGGTTGGCAGCCATTTTGAACCGGAATACTGTGTTAATAAAAAAAGACTTTTTTTGGAATGACATAAATAACACTATATTGGTTGCTACTTTTTGTAAAATCGTAACTTTTTTTTGTTAATAACAAACAGTGTTAGATGTGTAGTAGTTTTAAATAAGAATTAATTTTGGTGTGATGATCATTCATCATTCAGGGTTCGAAATTATAAAATCACATAATCAGAACCAATTTTTGTTTGTGGTATATATGCAATTTGTGTTTTGTATATAATGTCACAAACACAAATTGTCGGCTGCTAATGTGATGTGTTGTCCCAATGTCTCGAATCGAAAAACTTTCAATACTTATGCGCGTAAGCGTCACGTTGCTTACTGCGAACTGAGAGGTTCGGATATTATTTTCAAAAAAATATTTGTAAGTAACAATTTAGATTGAAATCTTCAAATAGATATTAAGCTATTAGAATTAAAAAAACTAAAAATTTATAGTTGTATACTACATTATCTCTTTGATTCTATAAAATCTAAGTAAACGCAATCTAAAGTTTATAACGAAACGCAATAAACCGAATTTTTTCGACATAAAGATTCTCGTTATATACAGAGAGCAATAAACAGAAAGAGTAAATTTCCAGGATTTTTACACGTTTCACATTACACTTATTGCTATTATTACTAAAAAATCTTGTATCATTTTTTATGTGAAAGGACAACCAGCGACACGAACTTTAATTAGATTTAACTGGAACCTTGAATTAGACCTTGATAAAGAGTTTTATTATCAAAAGTTCACAGTGAATTCAGTTATTGTAATTAGCCGTGTCGTAGTTTCATGTTAGCGTTGCATAGATAATTTAAAGTATAAATTTGTTTTGTTATAACGAGTAACATCGTGCAAGCGTCCCAGTTGTAAACTTAGCATCTTTTTTAATGTTTATGGGCGACTAGTATCAGTCCTTAATAGTTTCGTTACTAACACTAAATTAAGTTTTTATGATCAAACCGTGTCGTAGCATTGTGTTAGTGTTCCATAGATAATTCAAAGTGTAGATTGGTTTAATTATAGCGGGTAACACTGTGCAAGCGTCCCGGTTGCAAGGCGGCCGCCAGCCAGTTACCTGTAGGGGTGCAGGAAGTGCCAAAACGTATCGATATATATCGTATCGATATTAAAAAATATTGATATCGATTTCCAACAAAAATATCGATATACCGATACATCGACATGTTTGCTACAAGCGTAGTTACCTGGCGTCGGGCGGCGCGTCCTGCGGCGACTTGGGCACCAGGTAGTCGCCGTCCGCCACGCGCTGCCAACACCACACACCACACGTCACACGGGCCCGGGGATCGTGCACCATGGTCTTTCAGCCATTGTGGCAAACTACTTCTCTTGTATGTTCTTAACCTAGCCTTTTATTGTTGCACTCGCCTTTTATCGTTATTTAAATTTATTTATTTAACTTCATATAAACTTCAATGTTTATGGGTGGACTTAATGCCTAAGGCATTGTCTATCAGTCCACCTTTGTGCAGAGATAAATGATTATTTACTACATTAAATTAATTCATGAATTGAGTGCAGCTACTTCTGCCTAATATGGCTCCACTCATCTTTTACTCCACTTATTTTTCTTGAAATAATAATAATATGTTTGTCAAGCTTGACCTAACAACGAGTTCAAAATCTTATTTCGGTTTATCGTACCTTTATATCTGAGTTACAAATTCTGAATAACAGCCCCACGTATAAAACCTTAGTAGAAAAGTTGAAGATTAGCAAAGAATGGGTTAGAGAAATTTCGAACGAGTTTTTATATAATCGTGAGTAAAATTCCAACGCCGTGTTGCAACTGCGATAACTAGTGTCTATTTGAGAAATTAAGAAAAGGATTGATAGTTATAATCTCCAAAATGTATAGTTTCCTTGAATAAGAGATTACCATGAATTAGGTACTAATATTACCACTTTACTAGTAAAACATAGAGCGTGGAGTTCTGGTTTTGCAACACATGGTATACTCGTTAGTTTTAAAAAGATAAGAGCTTCTTCAATACTTTCATCTTCTAAGCATACAATCCATACTAGGCTTCTAGTATTTTTATTTTCTCCATAGTAAGGAGTCAGTCCAACGAAAATGGAATGAAGACAGCCGTAGTCATTTTGAAGACAAAGAAAAGTCATTTTGAATGCAATTTTATGTAGCGTTATTATGTGTCAAATGTGTCTAACACAATTTAATCCTGCCGTGACCTAGTAACTCTTTGTTCTTGTGCTCGTAATAACTATTTTAGAATGATTGAATCAATGTCTCAATGATATTTTCTTTATACTTTATGTTCGTTAACTTTATCCATCCATCCATAATTTTAGTAATATGAGAAAATCCCTAATTTTAAAATAATTTATGACATAAAACCATAAGAACGTAGTAGTGGTAGATAATATAGTTAGTTTCGTAAAAAAATTAGCTCGAGTGTAATTTCACAGAAAGAAAACAGGGGAATGGGTTTGTTGTACGTCTACGTCTGTATGTATAATTTAAATTATATATCTTTACGACTTCGAAAGTCGTAAAAGATAATAAAGAAGTAAAGTTTTAAATTACATCAAAACATATATCAATTGATATTCTCACTATAAAACGTGAAATAAATTTATGCTATATACAAGACTATTTAATTGGGGCAGCGAAAAATATTAGGAAGCAAGCCAACAAAACATCTGTTAATCACGTTATTAAAAGACCATGGCCACGCTATTGAAAATCACTTTTCACTTGCTTAAAAAACGATCTCCCTGAGCCACATTCCACTTAAAACTAAGCGTGCATTAAAATTATGAGTTTTGTAAAACATTAAAAAATGTTAAAAAATTCACGCGTTGTTTTCTTTTACAAAACCCATGCAAAGGGACAAAGGTAAAATAAACGAAAATATACAGATAGTTTCCCGCTATAGCTACTAGGCAAGTAGACACTCAACTTTTGAAGTAATTTTAGCTAAATAATGAGAGATTCTTTGAAATGTTTTGCGTGGTTTATGATGATGAAAAATATTTTATGGTCTTATAATATTATATAATTAATGCAAGTCTTGGCTATATGTATTTTGTTGATTCCTGTTATTTTTAACATTCCAATGAATCTCTTTCTAACTACGGGGGTTTCTATTTTCTACGCGTTTTTCATTCTAGGAGGGGGTAGAGTTAAAAAGATATGAATTAAAAAAAATATAAAAATGGTAGGTAACTATCATGCGCCACTCGCAAGCACGGTCCTTTAAAAACCACGGATCACTAACACCGATACTTTGTTTTTATTTTATTTAATTAAAAGAGTCCAGTTACTTGCTTCTAGTAGCCAGAGCGAAAACAGTTGGAAAAAATAAAACACATTTAGAAATGGGAATTTCATTAGGACTTATATTTTATTTTTAAGGGAAATTGAAATTACTTTAAGTAATTATTTTATTTATGGTTCATTGTGTTGTTCTTTTATAACTATTAAAACGACGTTATTCTAAAAATTGTATTATTGTTAAAACTTAAAAGCAAAAATATTCAAATAAAAAAATTATTTATGTCTGTACAAAATAAATTTACAGTTATTTTTAGACCACATTCTAATTCAGAATAAATTCTAATTAAATATTACATAAATGTAAATTTATTGAACGACGAGACCTGCATTTAGCAAAATAACTGTACAATGTTGCAAGTCATGCTTTATAAAATATTACCATTTTTGGAAACTTGCACTATTGTATTATAAATGTGTATTTTAGAATAACGCCATATGTTTTGTGGTCTATCTAGCTATGTGCTCGTACATAGCACTTTTTACCTGTTCTTCCTCTTCGTTCTTTGATCGTGCGCCAGTAACCGCGCCAATTAACGAGCGCAATACTGGTAGTGGAGCGCCCGTTATTGCGGGATCCTAGATACATTTTTAAATAAATTAAATTAAACAAGAATAAACAAAATTTAAATTCAATTGAGATACTGAGTATGGAACTTAATACTAAGATTTGTGTTGTGTTAAGTTTAATTTTTTTTTAAATTATTACTTCGTTTATTTTTGTAACTGAAAGAGTTTATAATAATTACAAAAATTATAATAATGACTTAACTAAAATAATAATTAAAATTATAATATTTACGATTAAAACTAATTATATACAATATAAAAGAAGAAACTATAATATAGAAAATCTAAAACTAAAAATTTAACATCGTCAAAAAGACCTGCTCCCCGTGGTATAGTGCCAAGAACGCTGGCTGCGTTTCCTCGCTGAATAGCTATACTTAGCCTTTGAGCGAGGAAAGAACCAGCCCTCTTATCACCAGCAGCGACGACCAGTCGTGGATACAGTTCCTTTAGAAATTTCACTGCACGCGGACCCCACGGACCGATAGTCTCTACAGCAAATGGCACAAATATGTAGTCTTTTCTCAAAGACTCATATTTGCGCCATTAAATTTATCAAATACTAAAAAAGCTGACCCTACTCCCCACACCATGGGTGCTGCAAAGTAAGCAAAACGTTGGGAATAAAAATAAGTTCATCAAATGCATGTGACAAACTTGCACACAGTCCACATGATGGTAAGTGGATGCTGTAGCCCATAGACATTTATTCTCAATTAAGAATCAAAATGCAAATGCGTTGTCACCCGTGAGGACTAAGATGGAATGTCACGTTTCCAGTAAAAAGGGTCTCCAGTTCTTTACACTCACCACACGAAATACAGCAGAATTACGCTTATATTTTACGCTTTTTTTACGCGGATTGATGTAGATGTCTATAGGCTACAGCATCCACTTACCATAGCATCGAATGTGTGCTCATTTATCACCACCATTCTATAAAAAAGCGTTCCTAATAATGACTACAATTAAAAGACTGTGGTTCCCAACCCGCTTGTCAAGCGTGGCAGCTATGGCAAACTTCTCCGCTATGAAGCAATTTATATGTTCAGCAGTTGACTTTAATAAGTTCAGTTAACATGATGGTAGGCGAATTATATGGCAGGAATGAATATTCACGCACCTGTAAGAAACGCTGCAGTCTGTCAAATATTTGTGCGAAAGATGGTCGCTCGGATGGCGTCGGGTTCCAACATTCGCACATTAGAAGGTAGATTTCTAGCGGACAGCCTGTGAAATATTAACAAATAATTACTTGTATATTTACATTTGTTTCGAAGGAATATTAAAATGGCACTCATAAATGTTCAATACATTTTAAAAGCAATTGAAAAAAGCAGGGTGCCGCGGCCCGGCAATAATTTGTATGCAGATTGAAAATTAAACTCAGTAGTCTTGAATGATTCGTTTTTAATAAGGCATGGTTTACAGTGTGGTGGCCCTAAGAATATGCGCTACCGTATCATCATCATCCCGAAGGTGTCGCAGGAGGCGACCGACGGACACAAATCAGGAGATGAGCAGCAGCGTTTTCGTAACAACGACTAAAATCAAAAACTGCAGTTGCCAGCCCGCTTGCCGAGCGTGGTAACTATGACATGTATCCCTCCTATGAGACAATCTATGGGGGAGGCCTAAATACAGCAGTGGACTAAGCCTTAATAGCCTGTAACAGTAACGGTAAGGTTTGATGAATTTGTAGATGAATGACAAAATGCGAATTTAATATTAAGTACTTAATGTTTAGTGAACATATATGTATAAACTGACGTTAGAATAGATTAGCAATGCAAAAGAGAAGAGCTTTCTAACATACGCGTACACTACGCGTGTGTTGGAGTGAGAAAGATAGGTGAGACCATTAACGTACTCGCTATCGGCAAGTATCGGTCAAGCGCCATTCGTAAACAAAACAAAGCGCTTGTATTTGCAAAATCTCGTGTTTTAAAGCGAAAAGTAGTGTTTAATAGACGTAATTAATGGTTACGTGTGTTGTATCTAAAAGCTCAGCTCGAAAAGAAAACCCTCATTATTTTATATATAACCCGTTTGGCTTTCTATGAATACTATTCATATAATATTCATATATAATATTCATAAATGCTGTCTTTTAGAGCAAATACAAAGAATTTGTTATAATCTTATATTAATGGGAAAAATTATCACATTTTATAACGTTAGTCACGTGAATGAATGCAAATCAATTGAATTTAAAATAATTACAAAAACGTGAAATCCTGCTAATTTTAACCTCTCTTTCGTAGAGATTGATACATTACATTACAGTACATTACGATAATATTAAATATAAAACCTTCAAATTAGTAATATTTTTTCAATTTTTAGTGTTGCCTAGCTAAATTTTCTTCTTAAAGTATGAAAAATCTTTTAAAACAAAATTAAGGTAACAAACGACCACACAATCCATCTGATGGTCAGTGGATAGCTGTGGCAAATATTCACAAAATATTGAAATTTGACAAAAATGGTTTAAAATAATAAATAAATAAGAATGGGTTTCTAAAAGAAAATATCAGCAAGTACTTTAAAGAAAAATGTTTTTCTCATAGAGGTCCATTACGAGAGTGCTCACAACATTTTGACAATCCATCATTACTCTTTGAAGGATTCCAAAAATTGACATCGTAGTCTTGTTGTATAATAAATACATTTTTAGTACACGTTTCCTATCAGTTTGGTGTTAGTTATTAACTTCTAATTTATATACACGTCATAACACGCACATAATTTTTCAGAACAGTGTTTCGTTCAGGGATTTATATTGACAATTTTTGAAGTTTATGTATTAACTAAGTGGACCCCATTTCTGGATAGGTTCTGTATAGATCTGCGCCTCACCCTCTTATCTAGTACCGGTGTAAATAAAAGGTATTCCATTTTAACCATCCTTTTGACTTCACCGTAATTGGGTAAAAATATTCACTTACATCATCATCAAAAGACATGAATATACTGAAATCGTTATCGATAGTTGATGTTGAGGCAGGCAATGCATGGAGAAGCACTATTTGTCATCCATACATGCACATTACACGCACACTAGTGAATTTTTATTTAGATCTCGCCCTAATCACTTCACCGCCACACTGATATATACTATATCTATGAAGTATATATATGGTAGTGAATATAAGCTTTCATTAGAGTCTCATTCATATATTAGTTTTAAAATAGTCCATTGCTAGAAATAGGTCAATACCAAAAGGAGATCTTTCATCATAAACATGCTTTGTTAAACAAGTGATTCACCATGCAGGGTATTTTACTCAGGTTATCCGTAATACTGAATTTGGGACGTTTATTTTCTGCATGATTAGTGTTTACGCTCGATAGACTCGAGCGGGGTGAGGAAAAGGTTAGCGCTGCGCGGGAGGCGGAGGCTAGCTGTGGTGTACGCGCAAAGCGAGCGCGTCGGGCAGTGCACTCTGCAAGAATCGCTAAGCGCTGCGGCCGTGCCGGTGTGACTTAAGAATCGCAGCAGCCTCCTTGTGTTATCTAATATTTGTACGTATCCGTGAAACTCGAGGCTTACTTCTTGAGTTGCATTGCGAGACGCCCGGGTCGATTATACTGTTACGAGCTTGAGGTTCGTGACAATAAAAATTGCCGATAAAATTACCTAAATTAACACTTTAATTTGCTTTACACAAATTAAAACTTAAAACACTAATAATTAAACACACTAATTCACTTTATTTCGCTCCGAAGCTTCGCTTGTCTCGCCAAATCAACACTACTTCGATCGCATCTTGCAGCGCCTATTTATATAAATTAGCAAAGAAGCATCCGGAATATTCAAGTAAATGCGCGCAAAGGGACGAGTGTGCGAGTGTAGATTTTCTAGAAACTTAGTTCTTCGGATGGCGCTGTCGGTTGAGAGATTTGTGATGTCATTTTCTGTAAAGCTCCCCTCGCTCTCGTTCCTGACACTAGATGGCGCTAGTTGACTTATTCATGCAACACTGCCCCCTCCTAAGACATGCTCGTCCCGAGCATTATCGGTCCCATAACAACGCGCCAAGCGATCCACATGGACGATCTTAGGAGTCCCTCTTGCGCCTTTCTGTATCCGGTAGGTCACATCGTTGATCCTGGTTACAATCCGGTACGGGCCATCCCATTTAGCTTGAAGCTTAGGAGATTTCCCTTCGCTGCGGACTGGATTGTGCAACCACACTAATGAACCTTCGTTGAACCCTTTAAAATGAACAAATTTTGCGGTCGTACCGGGTTTTCATTTTCTCAGACATTTGCTGGCCCGATTGTCTGACGTGCTCATAAATGTCGTTCATTTTGTTCCGCAAGTCATTTGCATAATCGGTTACACTGCGTGGGGCATCAGGTGGTATCCCGGTGATCAGGTCTGCAGGCAGCCGTAATTCTCTTCCAAAGTTTGCGAAAGCTGGTGTCACTGCTGTACTTTCGTGAACAGAACTTCGATATGACAACAAAAACGGTTGTATGTGCTTGTCCCAATCTCGTTGCCGATTGTCTACAACTTTTGCTAGGTACCTCTCCAATGTCTGAAAAAATCGTTCTACCATTCCATCAGATTGCGGATGATAAGAAGTCGTTCGTGTTTTATGAGTACCCATAACTCGGCAAGTTTCCTGGAATATTTGAGACTCGAAATTCCTTCCTTGATCGCTGTGAATCTCTAAAGGTACACCAAAACGACAGAAGACTTCATGAACTAGCTTATCAGCAACTGTTGAAGCTTCTTGATTTCGAAAGGCGAAGACTTCTGGCCACTTAGTGAAGTAATCCATCACAACCATGAAATACTTGTTACCGCTTTCACTCTCCGGAAACGGTCCCGCCACGTCAATGGCTATTCTCTCCCATGGTGCACCAACATTGTACAACTTCAATGCACCTCTACTACGAGTCTGAGGTCCCTTTACAGCCGCACAACTTGTACATTTGCGACACCAGTCCTCGACATCGTTTCGACAGTGGATCCAGTAAAACCGTTCCCGGACCTTCAGTAGAGTTCGTTTAACTCCCAGATGGGCTCTTGAACGACCATTATGTCACAGCTGTAGAACATTCGGCACTTTAGCTTTAGGGACAACCATTTGCAGACGACAGCTGGTTGAACTCATCGCTGAGATGTCCCTCCACTTAGCCTTGTTAGCACGGGCCTTCATCCTACCCAAAATCGGCTTGATGTCCGGATCTTCCTGCTGTGCATGTCGTAGGCTGTCCTTCCGACCGATGCTGAGGTGGTCTGTCCTGAGCATCCTCACGGATACCACTTCCTTACTCTCTTGCCTACTACAATGGTTGCAATCTTCAGGAAAAGGTCTTCTTGACAATGCATCTGCGTTGCCGTGAGATTTCCCGCTGCAGTGTCTGATAGTAAAGTCGTATTCCTGCTGCCGCTGGGCGGTGCTGTTAGCCGCACTTCCTTTCTGAGTCCGTTCACCTTCCCTTCCTAGGGTGTGCTTAGGGCAGCTGGACCGAAGATGGCCCCTTTCCCCACAGCCATAGCACCTAGGGCTGTATCCTTTATTGTGGTAGCGAACCGTAACTGCTGCAACCTCCCTAGCGTGAGGTGAAAGACGATCCTGTCGCCGCCAGGCAGTACCGTTAGCTGCACTACCCTTCTGATATCGTTAACTTTCCCTTTCTAGGGTTCGCTTAGGGCAGCTGGATCGAAGATGGCCCTTTTCCCCACAGCCATAGCACCTTGGGCTGTATCCTCTGTTGCGGTCACGGACTGTAGCTGCTGCGACCTCCCCTGACGCGATGGGGACGATGATCCTGCCGCACGGCTTCCACTTCCAGTGCATGGGCCAAGGCGTCCCTAAGCGTCTCGTGGTGCCCGAGCCTCACAGCAGCTCTGACTTCCAGGTCGCGGATGCCGTCGATGAATGTCTGCACCAGGTTCCCTTCAATGAGCGCAGGTACAGACTGGTATGCTTTTCGAACCATCTTCTCCACCTCAAGGGCCCACTGCTGCAGGTTTTCGTTGCTGCGTTGCACGCGATCTTTAAGCTGCGCGCGAAAGACATGTTCCAGGTGAGCATCGCCATATCTCGCCTCCAATGTCTCAAGGAGCTGCTCGTAGGTCACTTTCTTACCGAGAGCTTCCACCACGGTTAAGGCTTGGTCGCGCAGGCCTAAGGTGAGTGCAGTCATGGCCTGGCTTTTATTCCAGCCGTTTGCCTCCATGACTGCCTCGAACTGGATTTTGTAGGCCGATC